AACCTTCCTCTTGAAGAGCCTGTGGTCCTGTCCCCTATTCACTTCCCTCCTCTGTACCTATCTGTGGGGCTGGGCATGTTTCTCAAACCCCTGATGCCATGTCTATCCTCTCTCCTCTCTGCAGAGCTTCACACGCTGTGGCAGAATGAGGAGCGGGCGGCTATTTCTTCGGGGAAACTCAACGAGATATGGCACCGAAGACACGACTATTGGCTCCTGGCTGGGATTGTCCTGTATCCTTTGATACAAATACGAGGAAAGAGATGTTTTCTCCACCTGGAGCGAGGAGAACCACAGAGAAGAGGAGTCCATCTCTAGGGAGGGAGGCCTCATGCCACACTTTGGGGCAGTCAGGCCAAAAGGAAGGTGTGTGCATAGCCCCCACTAGCCTTGTTAAGTTCCTTGATGGTCCCCTTCCTTCATCGGCAGCCATGGCTACGCACGGTGGCAGGACATCCAGAATGATGCTCAGTTTGCCATTATCAATGAGCCATTTAAAACTGAAGCCAATAAGGGGAACTTTCTGGAGATGAAAAATAAGTTCCTGGCCCGGAGATTCAAGGTGAGGATGAGGGCGGAAAGGAATAGTGTTGAAGAGGGGTTTGAATCAGAGGTAGGACCAGATCTGGTTGGAATGTAGGCAAGGTTGACACCTTGAGAGCCAAGGCCGGGGGACATGGTGTGTGTGTGTGTGGGGGGGGGGTTGTGGGTCTACTCCCCCAGGACTCAGCCCCTACCCGGGCCTCAGCTCCTGGAGCAGGCGCTGGTGATTGAGGAGCAGCTGCGGCGGGCGGCCTACCTGAACCTGTCACAGGAGCCGGCGCACCCCGCCATGGCCCTCCACGCCCGCTTCGCCGAGGCCGAGTGCCTGGCCGAGAGCCACCAGCACCTCTCCAAGGAGTCGCTGGCGGGGAACAAGCCGGCCAACGCCGTCCTGCACAAGGGTAAGGGCCGCGGCGGCCCCGCGCGGGGGAGGGCCCACAACGCTGCGTAAGTCTTCACCCCGCACCCCTCAAAATCTCCCCACCCCTCTGACCCCTTTACCCTCTGAACCACCCCCCTCTGACCTCTAACCCCACCCTGACCCGCCTGGTACCCCCTCAGTTTTTAGCCTCTAGAAATTGTGCGGCCAGCCCTTTTCCATGCCTAATAGCACTCACGTCAGTGCCCAAGAGTGGGATCCCCCAACCCCTTGACCTCTCCCATCTCCATGAGACTGTGCCATGGACCCTCCATGGGACGGAACTTCTTCACTGACCCACACACCTGCCATACTTCTCATAGCACCCTGTCTGGGGCCTTGGCCTGTATATAGTCCACAAAAGTTCTTATCCTGGGTCCCACAAATCACATTGCTCACATCTCGTTCACCCCATGAGGCAGAAACCACTACCATCCCACCCTCTGACCCTACCCCATGAAATTTCCCTTTGATCTTCAACCCTTCCTCCCAAATCCTCATGCCTTGATAATAGATTAAGTTCTGAAGCCCTCTAACCATCTAACCCTGTCTGATGTAGTGACTGACTCCTGGCCCCTTAAGACTCCTGTTCTAATTCCTTGAACCTGTAATGCTGACCCTCTAACCTTCCCCCTCCCCCCAACATAGTAAAACTTTGATTCCTTAAGTCTTTGACACCATTTACCACCTCCCACGCCTCCTGACTATTTCCTCCCCATCATCCCCAACCCCCAAACCTCCCTCTTCCAGTATGGGATGTTCTGACAACTCCCCGCCCCGTGTTTTCCAATGTCCTCCCTGTCTCCCTTTTCTCCATATTCCCTTTTCCTTCCTTCTCTCTCTCCATCTGTCCTTTGTGGTGATCTGGTCTCTCTGCCTCTTTACCTGACACTTTTTTTCCCCGAGCTGCTCTCTTTTTCTGTCTACTTTTGTCATTTTCTTGGTCTCTGATTCTTCGGCATCTGTGTCCTCTCTCTCTCTCTGGCTGTATCTGTCCGCCTGACTCCACATCTCCTTTCCTGGCTCCATCTCTCTCTTTCCCTGTCTTTCTCTCGCCCTTCTTTCTCCGTGGCCCGGGCCCCAGTTCTGAACCAGCTGGAGGAGTTGCTGAGCGACATGAAGGCGGACGTGACCCGCCTGCCAGCCACGCTGTCCCGAATACCCCCCATCGCAGCCCGCCTTCAGATGTCAGAGCGCAGCATCCTCAGCCGGCTGGCCAGCAAGGGCACGGAGCCTCACCCCACACCGGTAACCCTTCCCCCGACTCCACTTTCCCTGTTGATACTCCTGCACATAGACGCTTCCTTCAGAATCCTATACAGTGTGGAAAACGCCCGCACACTCCTCAGTGTGGAGTCCCCCTGCCTCTACCATACCCCTCAGCAGCTCTGGATTTCTCCCCTACAGCTTCTCCCTCTCAGGCTGTGGCCCCTCTAACTTGGGCTCACTCTTTCTTCCAGGCCTTCCCCCCGGGTCCATACGCTACACCTCCGGGGTACGGGGCGGCCTTCAGCGCCGCACCCGTCGGGGCCCTGGCCGCCGCAGGCGCCAATTACAGCCAGATGCCAGCAGGGTCCTTCATCACAGGTCAGCTGCTGACTTCCCCCCTCCTCCTTGTTGCCCTCTTCCTTTCCCAAGCTTTCACCCCTGCTCAGCTGCCCTTTACTTGTCCAGCCCATCTCACTTCCTTGGATGTGCCCAGGGTTTCATGGAATGGAGTGCTTCTAGACTTTATTTTTCCCATCCCTAGCTTCTCTTCCATCCCTGTCATCAGAAACCTCATCAGGGCTTTACTGGTTCTGTGAACTAGTACCTGAGCCGCCACCTCCTGGGTTACTTCAGAGAGAGTGTGAAATCAGAAGGGGGTTATAGTGAAAACTGGAGCGCGAGTCCCATCACACACACGGTGGGGCGTCTCAGGATAGGGATCCGCCCTGCTCTTCCCTGCACACCCTAGAAAATTGGACCTGGCGTGAGGTGACCTAGAAGTAAGAACATAACTCTGGTCAGGAAGCAGTGGACGACGGGTAGAGAAGTAGGGATTGACCCTTCCTTACCCCCTTCCCAAACAGCCGCCACCAACGGCCCTCCAGTGCTGGTGAAGAAGGAGAAGGAAATGGTGGGGGCACTGGTGGCAGACGGGCTGGATCGGAAGGAGCCCCGAACCGGGGAGGTGATCTGTATAGACGACTGACCGGATCCCAGGCCTGCCCTTCACCCAGGTCCCGGCCCCGAGGTCGACCCCCAGCTCAGGCTCCGGGGCCTGCTGCCAATCCTCCACCTTCCCCACCCCTTGGGCCACCACTGGGCTAGGAGCCCCTCTGCCCCTCTCTACAGTTCTCTTCAAGAAGGGCCCTTGTTATTCTCCACCCCATGCACCTTTCCCACCGCGCTTTGAAGACTGTGCTGGTGAGAAGGGGTCTGGGTGGAAGGTGGTGAGCAGGGTCTTCTGAGTACCTTTATCCCCCACTGCCAAACACACACAGCTTCCCAATAAATGATTGTGGGGAGGAGAGAGGTGGAGCCTCCCCAGGTTTTACTCCTGCAACATCAACTCCATCTCTTGCAGAAGTCGGGGGTTAGCTTTGCCTGGCCTCTAGGAACTTGGTGGGGAAGAGCTTTGAAGAGAGGCAGGTGACTTTAGAGAGGGGTGACAATGAGCCCTGGGAAGGTGGAAGAGAAGAGGGGCAGCTGCATGTTTCCTTCCCCTCCCTCCCCCCAGATGGAGGGTGGAGCAATTACCAGGGAGGGGGTCCATTGCTGTTCAGCCTCAGAATAAAGGCGCCGTTCACTGGCTCAGTTACCTCCTGCGTACCGGCATCTTGTGTTGGCAAGCTTCCCCCCTCCCTAGGGACCAATGACCACCCCTGCAAAGAGTAACATTTGGGTGATACTCCCTTAAGCCAAAGAGGAGCTCCCCAATCTGTTCTAGGGACCCAAGTAACCTAGAAAGGGTGGCAGAGAACACAATGGGCCAGACATGGGGGGAGCCCCCAGTTTTGGGGCTCAGGTTCTTGGAGGATTTCTACCTTCCCTCCTGAAGACCTCGATGTGGACTAGGGTGGGTCAGGCAGGGGGCCTAGTCAGGGGACCACCTTGCCTTCAAGACCAGAGCAGAATAGCGGAGGGCAGGCTGGGGAGACACGGGCACACCCTCCTCCCCAGGAGGGGCTGGGGAGAGTGGCAGTTTGCATGGCGAACCCCCCACTTCCTCTTTGCTCCCCTTCACTGTCTGGCTGCCCCTCTCCCAGTCTCTTCACACCCACTCCGGGCCTGTCCCAGTCCCCTCTTCTGTATCAGGTTTATTGGTTGTACATATAAATTATACTTTCCTTTCTGTGTGCTCTGTTATTTTTGAGTGGGGGAGTTTTTTGGTTGCGGGGAGGGGGAGGGATAGGAAAAGAAAGGGTGTTGATTTCTGCCATTTTCTGTTCATTTCTCTCTTTAAAAAATCTTGTTGACTTTCCCTTTTCTTGTTTTTATTTCTTGGATCATCAACTAAAATTCCAAGGACCCTTTTCCAGCCCTAACCCGGAGGTGATGAGCTCAGTGTGGAGGGTGACAGCAGGATACCTCACAGGCCTCAGGGTGGGACCAGCGAGGCAGGGTTCACTCGACAGAAGTGGAATGGGAGGGGTGCCTGACAAGGTTCACAACTGCCTTCAGTCATCCTTTTGAGCAGCCTTTCCACCTTCAGGTTGTTTAGTTCTGCCAAGAGTCAGTAGAGGTCACTACAGCTTCACAGGTTCAGTTCCCAGTTTGCAGAAGCACACTTCTATTTATTTTATTTTAAAGGAATTGGGGGGGAGGGGCGGCCAAAGATTTGAATTGCTAGACACTGCACCTTGACATGTATTGTTCACTACCAGAGCTTCTTAGAGGCTGAGACCAGACACTTAAATTTTTGAGGCTATTAAAAACTGTAATTCTAACAAGCAATCAGAAAACAGCAGGTTGAAGGCTGAGAAAGGGCTCCCCAAAGAGGGAAAATGTAAACTGAGACATCAGACTTAAGGACAGGAAAAAGGCAAAAACGGTATTAGAAAAATTGAGGTTTATTAGTAAGTTCACATTTTTAAAACTCAGAGGAAAATTCAACACAGTAAACTACGCACACGAAGTTTACATTTCTTCAGTTAATAGTGCCACTTTAGGAACCTTGAATAAAACTATATCATTTATATCAGTTGTGTTTTAAATATTCCAACCACAGATGGTGATATCCTAGATAGTCTAGAACCTGGACTAGTGCTGCTTACATTTTTATTTAAACGGATCACCTGGGATTCCTTGTAAAATGCAGAGTCTGAATCAGTCAGTCTAAACTGAATTCCTGAGATTCTGTACTTCCAACAAGCTCCCAATGATGCTGATGCTGTTGGTCCTTGACTCGTAACTGTACTATCATGAGAGATTAACAGGATTTTTAACTAAAACTCACACCCTAAAATTTGGTTAAGTCCAATTATGGGACACAAGTTTAAAACTGTATTATGAGCATCTTTTTTCAGTAGTGACTGTTTCTTTGGGACTGTAAAGATAACACATAGTATCAAAGGCTTACAATTCAATGCCTTTGCCAAATGGCACTAGCTCCTCTCCTTGATAAGCACTAATGAACTGACTCAGATAAATGCCCTTTGGACCTTCTCATGCCTGCCCTAACTGGTTAAAGGGAGATTCTGAAATGAAGCAAGGCTCTTAACCTCATAGGTAGGGATGCATCTTGATAATTTTAGAAACAGTACTGGGGATGAGGAAACAGTAGGCATACCAATGGAGGAGGGTAGGGAGGGTACAATGTATTTTTCTCACTTCTCTTAGGTGCTAGAGAAGTGAGATTAACACGACTTGAAAATCGGCCTCTTCTCTCCCGTTCCATCTTTAAAATCATTGACACAGAATTGCTAAAATGGGACCTGTTGCTCCCACACACCAGAGCTGCCCTGGACAAAAGCCAAAGTCACAGCTAGGGAAACAGTCTGTCTACTTCCCACGAGAACGGAGACTGTTTCCATCATCCCTAAGCCACTCCATCCTGAATACGCAAGGCTGGCACAGACAGTCAGACGGGGGCGATTCGCCTAGGAGCCTCTGCAGCGCAGTATTAACACCTCCCAGGGCGTTCCTTCCTGCCCTTGGCTCACCTCCCTCATCCATGCCAATCCAGGATGTGACGGGGGGTAGGTAGTCTTGGCATCAGACCCCTGTACTACAGCGCGCCACGAGAACGCAGCTCCCACCTTTCTTCTGCCGTAGCTTTAGAGTTCCCCGGTTACGGCGTGCAGCGGGTCATGTGGGCCAAGTCCTTGACCTCCGGACAGTACAGCACTGGGGGAAAGGAGGACGGTTAAGGTCAGTGGAAAGATGCAGCTGAACCCGGCGTTCCCTGGTGCTCCCCCTCCACGGCCTCTCCGGTGGCCCCTCACCGTTGCTAGGCAGTGGGCGCCACCACCCGAGCGCGGGCACCAGCACCTGGGCCCAGAGCCGCCGAAGCACGCGCCACCCTGCGCTCCTAGGCCCCGCCCCTTTCTCGCTCTCCTTTTCCTCGTCATCGGCCTCTCGGTTCGCGTCGCCACCCGCCTCATCAGATTCGCGCCTGAGTTTTGCCTCCAAGCGCGACCATAAGTCCGGGTCGACAGATATCTCCGCGACCCCGCCGCGCGGGAGTGGGGTGGGCGCGCGACAAAAGGGGCACGTGACGAGGCGGCGCAGGCGCACCACGCGCGCCGCCACCCCGCCACCGTCGCCGCGCGCCGCCAGCTCGCGCAGGCATGCGGTGCAGAGCGTGTGGCCGCAGCGGGCGCGCGCCGTCCCGGGCAGGCGGCGGGGCGCGCGGTCCCCGAGGTTGAAAGGCCGGTAGCAGATATTGCAGTCCAGCTCGCCGCGCTCTGGAAGAGACGGCACCCTCACCAAGAGCTGCATCTTGCCCGCCGCGGACCTGAGAGCGTCACTCACGAAACCAGCTCCGTGATAGATCTAGCGGGCCCGTCCTGGGGCCCGCCCCGCGGCCGCTCGCTCCTTTTAAATAGTGAGACCCCGCCCCTTCGCGACGTCACGTCGCAGTCAGGCCCCTCCCCGCGGTGGCACGCGCGTGGGTGGTGGAGGTGCGAGGTCCGGAATGCCAGCCTCGGCGAAGCTGGGGGCGGGGAGGTGGCCCAGGTGGTGCCTGGACTGGGGACGGGGAGGTGCGGCACCTCCAACTCCAGGCACGCCTTCCTTAATGCCCCCACGCAGCGCCAGCGCTCCTTAATTGTACTCTGTGCAAAGCCCCAGCTACTGAGCCTGAGCCCTCAATCACTGGCACGGGTTTCTCAGGCTCTTTCACAACATACTTCCTAAGCCAGTGACACTGCCCTTTCTGCCCAATTTTTAGAAGGCCCCGGGCGTTTGAGCAGACGCTGAGCTCCATTGCCCTTACCATATTCAACCTCCCTGTGTTCTTGTAAGGCTGGCTTCCCAAATTTTATTCTCCTCAAACTGTTGAACTCCCAGCCGACGTCTCAACCTAAGAAGGGCCCTAGATACCAAGATCCAGGCCCAGGAATGCTGGGAATCTTCTCCTTCCTGAGTAGCCAGGCCTGGACGCCCACGCACCATGATGGCTCCAGCAAAGCAGCCCCGCCTAAACTCTGACTCGGGTCTGACTTCCGCCACGGGTAAACAGGACATAACATAGTATTCACAGCCCACGTTCCCTCTTGGTGCGGCACCCACCCCCAGCTCCTTCCTCACCCGCCTGGACCCACAGTCTAGGCACTGTTGTGGAGGTTCATAGGACAGAGCCTAGACCCAGTTTACCAGTTGTGATGCTTTGAGCAAGTTACCTAACTCCGCTGGGCCTTGGCTTTCTCATCTATAAAATATGGATGATAGTAGGATTGAATCAGCTTACATATGTAAGGTGCTTAGAATGATGCCTGGCACACAGTAAACACATATTAGCTGCTATTATTATTTTATGCCCTCTCCTATATTGTGTTCACTTTAACTTCTTGGCACCCAACATATTCTTTTCTTTTCCTTTTTTTTTTTTTCCTGCCACAACCGCGGGGCATTCAGGATCTTACGGTCCCCAACCAGGGATCGAATCCTCACCCCATTCAGTGGAAGTGCAGGGCTTAACCACTGATGGTCCAGGCACAACATTCTCAACCCCTATTTCTTTTGGTAAACACAAGATGGGATTCTCCACACTCATGGCATTTACTGGCTGTAACAGGCAATGTAAAGCTGGTTTTTAAAAACTAGATTCTTTAAAACCTTAGAGGGCAATCTTTTGTGAGAAGATATATCATTATTTTTAATTATTTTATATCTTTTCAGAACTAAGTTTTATTGTCTTGTGGTTACTTGGAGGAAGCTATTCATTCCAGTGATGCTGTCATAACTCAAATTTGGGGGAACTTCTTTTTATAATGGTGCTTAGAGATCTCACATCTTTTAATATCTTCAGTTGGTGATTAAGTCTTTTAAGGTAAATTTGACTGTATAAATGCTCCTAAAGTGGTAGACAGCCAAAGCCCTTCTAGCTCTAGGCCTGGAATATCCAGTCACCTGCTCAGCTTCCTTTCTTGTTTATCAAGAATCCAAAATGATGATCTCCCCATCTAAAACAACATCCCTTCCAAGTTTCTTATCTTTTTACCCAACACCAGAAACCTAGGTGTCAAACCTAGATCCCTTCCTTGAATTCATGTTCCTTTACCTCCCTTATCACTAGGCCTGGTACATTTTGCTTCCTAAAATTAATTCATCTGCTTTTCTCTACTTCCAGTATACCACCCTGGTTCAAGCTGCCATCATCTCTTCTGCCATCAGAAGCCTCTTCACCAGTTTGTCCACAGTTGTTCTGGCCTTCTGCAGACTTCTCTTCACACTGCTTACAGTAATCTTTCCAAAACTCAAGCCTAATTATGTCCTACCATATATCCCTTCCATTCCTGTTAAAATCTGCCTGCAATGCAGAAGACCCAGGTTTGATTCCTGGGTTGGGAAGATCCCTGGAGAAGGAAATGGCAACCCCCCTCCAGTATTCTTGCCTCCCATGGGAGAATCCCATGGACAAAAGAGCCTGGCAGGCTACAGTTCATGGGGTCGTAAGAGTCAGACATGACTTAGCGACTAAACCACCACCACCACATATCCCTTCCATTCCTGTTAAAAACAAAAACTTCTACAGCAGGTGGTCCAGTGGCTAAGACTCTGAGCTCCCAGTGCAGAGGGCCTGGGTTCGATCCCTGGTCAGGGAATTAGATCCCACATGCCATAACTAAAGAAAGATCTTTGTGCAACTAAAGCTCATGCATGCCTCAACTAAGACCTGGCGCAGCCAAATAAATATATAAACATTTTTTAAACAACAAACTTTTAATGCAGTCGTGGTTTAATACCCCCAAATTCCTAAGATATATGACTTTGCTGCTTCTCCCATCAAGAATTGGGATCTGTTCCTTCTCCCTTGAACCTGGGCTCACCTCATGACTTGCGTTGACTAATAAAATGTGGCAAGAATGATGATGTGTGAGTTCTGGAGCATCATTCCTTCAGAGACCTTATGGCTTCTGCCTTTGTCCCTTTGGAACACTGCCCTGAGACCACCATGTAAGGAAGTTTGCTGGCGAATGAAGCCACTTGGAGAAGGGAGGAGCCCCAGTCAACAGCCAGCACTAATGGCCAGGTGTACCAGTAAGGTCATTGGATTTTCCTGTTTAGCTGCTCTGTGGGCATGCAGCCACGTGAACGAGCCCAGGTGAAAACACCAGAAGACGCTCCCAGCCAATCCACAGAATCGTGGAGTAAAAATAATTTTTAAATATTCCTTTAAGCCACTAAATTTGGGGGTGATCTGTTGTGTATCAAGATAACTGATTTTGAGGGTTTCCTACTGTCCTTAGGATAAATATAATATGCTGAAGTGCCCTACAAGGCCAAACATGCTCTGAAACCACCAAGTCTCACATTCTGCTTGCCTTTCTTCTTTAGACATTCAGCCTTTGGAGACCTCTGACTTGTCTGTTTGTTTCCCCCACAAGGTTTTCCCGTGTGCTTCCCCTAACCTTCTTGCTTTCACCGTAGCAACACCTACTCATCCTTCAGCTCTCTTTGCAGCCTCACCATGTCAGATACTCACTGTTCACTCTGGTAACACCAGTGCTTTCCTCTGGACTTCGGACAACCTAAGTTTGAGTGTGTGTTTGGGGTTACTTTGCCTTCCCCATCTGTAAACTCCACAAAGGTTGCTGAGCCAGGTTTTGTTCACCACTGTGTCCCGGTGCTGTACCATAGTAGGACCCAATAGATAAGTTCTACTAATGAATGAGGTGAATGATAAATATGGTATGTGAGGGAATTAGCTAGTGGTCCAGTGGTTAGGACTTGGTGCTTTCACTGCCCAGGGAAGCCTTGGGTCAGGGAACTAAAATCCCACAAGAGGAGCAGCATGGCATATATATATATATATTTAGTTAACAAGGTGTGACAATAAAGGAAGGTTTCTTACAAGAGGTTTCTAACGGCCTCTAAAAGTAATTTTAAGAGGACTTTTAAAAAATGTGTTGAGCAATGAAGGAGGCATTAAATGAAGGAGGTTCATGACCCTCCAAGGTAACTATTTAAGGAGAGTACCATTTTGAATTTATAAATTGTCCTATGTTTGTTACAGAATAACTAAGCTTAGTTTAGTCATACATTTTACCTTTTTGTTTCCTCCACAGTCTTCCCAAATGAGTGGGAGATGATAGGAGTGGATGTAAGTGTTCATTAGTTGATCCGGTTGGTTGCTAATCCAGTAAATGGCATGCTGCTGACTTCTCTCTTTTGGAAATTGGTTTTACTTTGCTCTCCCAGCTTCAGGATCAAGGAAGGGTGAGGATGGGAAGAAGGGAGATGGTAAGGTTATATTTTAAGAAGGAAGAGCTCATCCTCCCCTGCCTTGTGATCATTAAAGGGTTGTAACTTTCCACCCACTTTCTGTCCCAGGGAAATCAGAGTTCTTTAGGGAAGAGTAAGGGTAAGTATCTGACATAATCCCATTTGATCCTGCTTTACTGCCACTCTCACACCTGATCTTTCACTTGTTTTCTTTTTATAACAGCTCTCTTCTCTCTCTCTCTGCATCATTTCAACCATAGACCAGTTTTCATTTTACCTCTCCTTCCCCAAATCCTCCATCTCAGAACAGTGCCTCCCACGCAGTCACAAGAAAACCACCCACAGTTTTTTGGATAGTGTGGGTATTAGGCTTCTCAGGTGGCACCAGTGGTAAAGAACCTGCCTGCCAATGTAGGAGATGTAAGAAACACAGGTTCAATCCCTGGGTCAGGAAGAACCCCTGGAGGAGGAAATGGCAATCCACTTCAGTATTTTGCCTAAGAAACACAGGTTTGATCTCTGGGTCAGGAAGAATCCCTGGAGGAGAAAATGGCAATCCACTTCATTATTTTGCCTGGAGAACCCCATGGACAGAAGAGCCTGGCAGGCTATGGTCCCTAGGGTTCCAAAGAGTCAGCCATGGCTGAAGCAACTTGGCATGCACTGGGTATCAGGAAAGAGGGAAATAAGACCCTTGGCTAATATAACTTTTCAAAACAAAACAAGAATAAGAGTGTCAGAGGGAGGAGCAACACAGCTATGAAACCAGACCTCTAGGTTCCAAGGCATGTGGTGACTGAAAGAAGAAAACCGGTCTTTGATGACAGCAGTGGCTAGGAGCAAGGTGCCCGGGTCACTAAGGTCCATGAGCAGTGGAGAGGAAGAGTCCTGGAGTTTTCTACTGGCAGGGGGCTAGGGAGTCAAACAGGTGAGACTGCGAGCCTAACACTCAGCCCCCAGCAACTTCAGACACAGTAAGTGATGATCAAGCTGAGATTTTATTTACAGTTCCCTGGGAAGTCTTGCACAAGAGGGGCCATCATTATTGCTTTAAGATTATTGCCAGGAGGAAGACACAGTCTTCCCCTGCCAGGTAGGAAGTCCTGCTCAAGGCTCAAAGGTTTATCCCCAGACCTTTTATGTTGGCCCCATTTCCCTGACGTGACCTAAAGGCTGTCACTGTTTTCTGCGAAGTGAGGCCCAGTGTGCTTTCCAAGGTCTTCCCTGGCCACTTCCGCCAGGATACTGTATACACTGGCCATCAAATTTCCCTCACCGGTGCTTTGCTACTGCACTCCCCACTCTACCCTTCTCCCCAAGAACAAAGCATCAATACGAATTCTAGTTTTACGCCCTTCTCCACCTCCTGGCTGAGGCAGGGTCCCGGTTTCCCAAAAGTCATCATTTACTTCCTGCCAGGACCAGCCTGGCTTCCTTTGTAAAGAATTTAAGAGTCCCATTTCCTTTTTTCCAGGTGACACCACAACTCGCTTCTTATTAGAACTCACAACTCCTTGATGACATTTCAAGGGCCGCTTTCGAGGTACTCTGCAATGGGTCTTGTATATGCCTTTTTGTTTTTCCCTGGACCTCGGCAATTAGGGGAAGAGAGAAGGAGCGAGACCAAGTCGCAGAGAGGTGACGGCCCAGTAGCTCATGCCCAGGATTAGCAGAAAGGCCTAGGTGGACGTAGCAGGGGGCGGCGGACTACTTTCCCTCTCAAGCCCCACTGCGGGAGGATATGGCTTTGTTCATGCTATCGCTACTCAAAGCTGGAACTCGCTAGTGGGCGGGGCCGCCCTGTCTCGGCCGCTGCGTGGAGGGATCCGGAGCGGGAGGGAGGCAGAGGCGGGGACGCGTTTCTGGGGGATGCAGCGGCTCAGGGATTGGGTTCCTGCGTCCCTGGTGGACTACTTCTTGGGATGCGGCTTGTTGCCTAGGAGTCCGTCTATCTCCATCACCGTCTGCGGGGTCAGCTGACTCAGCACCTGGAATTGAATGGGGTGAATGGGGGTACATGCAGGGTCCTTGAAAGAGGGCAGGAGGTTCGAGGACCCGGGGAGCCTCACAGCAAGGCCTAGTCACAGCTGTGCTTCTGCTTTACCTTCTCGCCCTGGGACCACTCATTTGCAAATTGAGACCTTGTAGTGGGTGACTCACCTCAGGCCCATTCTGGGTTGGACATCAAGGTCTTGACTGCTGGGGAAGGGGACAGAGATGAGCTCTGGCTCTGAGTCCCTCGCTCACCTGCAGGGCGCCCAGGTGCTCCACCAGCTGCTCCACACTGGACACCCCCAGCAAGACCGAGCTGACCCCCTCACTGCGGAGACACCACGCTGGGGCCGAGAAGGAAAAAGAGAGAGAACTGGTGGTAAACAGTGAACACCCAGACTTCAGAGGGGTCTCTGAGGAAGAAGGACCGATCCAGAAACAAACCAGTCTGTGGTTTGGTAGCTCTTAGGTGGAGACAGGGACCCTGTAGGTCCAGGGCTGGCAGTGTCTCACCAATAGCAAGCTGCGCCACAGTGCAGCCCAGCTGGTGAGCGATGGGGAGAAGGTCCATGACTTTGGCTTGTTGTTTCTTGCCATCCTCACTTTGCACTTTGTCTTTGTGCCACTGGTAGCCCTGGAGGCCAAGGAGATTCATCAAAAGACTACTTCTCACTCAGTCCACTCCTGCCATCCCGAGCCCCCAGATCTCACCTTGATGGTGACCCTGCAGGTATCTGGGACTCGCCCATCATACTTGCTAGTGATGAGGCCACAGGCCAGAGGGGACCAGGTGACTGAGCCAACACCTAAGACGGAGAGGACCAGATGTGGGAAGGGGATCTCAGTGATGGTGAGGCCGAGGGAAAGGCAGGGATGAGGGGACTGCGAACCAATCTTGTGGTAGAGCTCTGGCAGCTGCATCTCCACCTTCTCTCTCTGAAACAGATGGTGCTCAGCTTGTTCACACACTGGAGGGATCAGATTGAACTGTCTGGCCATGGAGTAGGCCTCCTGGGTTGGGGCGGAGAAGAGACAGGGGTCAGAGCAGTCCTTCCATTGTCTTCCACTCGCCCTCCTCCAGCAGAGTGGGATTGGGAGTGGCCATGTGAAAGGTGGTAACGAGTTGTGAGATGGGGGCAGTAGGTGGCACACTCACCATGATTTCTGCAGCCCCCCATCGGGATGTCCCCCAGTATAGGGCCAGGCCCTGGTTGATGACGTAGGTCATGGCTCGCACAATCTCTAGGCACATAGGAGAAGGAAAGCTTCACTCTCAGATCCCTGGCATCCTGGGTTCCAGATCTGTAGACCTCCACCTGCCCCACCAAAACCCCACTCATCCTTGTGAGAGGTTGGCATCTGCTCTTCGCTTCCCTCCCTGTCCAAGTCCTGGGGTCTGAGCCTCCACTGTGGAACTTGGGAGACCTCCTGAGCAGGGCCTGGCTTCGGCTGAAGGTTTAAGAAGTGCTCAGTTTTGAAGGGCTGTCAGGGTTGGGGTGCTTCTTTACCCTCCATGGGACTGTTGGGGTCCAAACGATTGGCAAAGACGATGTCCACATATCCCAGCTGGAGGCGCTCCAGGGATCCTCGCAAGCCTGGGGTAAGCACAGGGAGAGGAAGGTAAGCTCTCCAGCTTTAGCTGCCTAAAAATTCAGACCTTACCCCTCTGCCATGGCCACCTAAATCCCAGCTTCCCTATTCAGAGCCTCAGACTTGGAGCTTCAGAGAATATTCCCAACTTCTCTAGCTTCCGTCCTCAGCCAGCTCAGGTTCCCAGCCCCTCTCACCTTCAATGATGTGTTTGCGGCTCAAGCCTCGCTCGGTTTCTCCCCTGTAGGAAAAGACAAGTCAAAGATGAGGTGCATCAAAGATAAGGGACCAGGGCTGGCCTGGAGCCATGAGGAACCAAGGTGGTAGGGGTCCTCACAGGCAGGAGGCAGACCTGGGGGAGCAGGTGCATGGTCTGCTTTCCCCACCCCATCCCATGCACCTTCACACAGTCTGCAGATTTCTCCCCAACTATAGTGAGGCAGCCACTTACTGTCCTCCCCAAAAAATCTTGGTAGTGATGACATAGCTTGATCTCCTGGAGAAAAAGAAATGGGAGACCCAGCCAGAAAAGGATGTGGGGATGATCATGTCCCCAGCAACTCCCCACACCCCCAAACATGTCTTACCTCCAACCTTTGCTCTTGAGGATGTTTCCTAGGGTTCTTTCAGCCCTGGAAGGAAAACAAGGCAGAAGCAGTGACTCCTCCAAGATGGAATCAGTTTCTTTCCCTCCTCCCACCTTTCCCTTCAACTAATTTCTCCCTTGTAAAATGGACCATAAATGAGAAGCCCATTGGGCCATCAGTCCCATTCTAAACTAAATAAAAAGGGCTCCTGTAAGTAGGGTTATAGTTGTACGTTTTCATTCATTCATTCAACAAATGTCAGTTGTGCAACAGTGAACCAAGCTCTGTTCTGGATGCTGAAGGGCTAGAATAGGATGAGAGACAAGGGACCAACTACAGTGATGCTGAGGAGGATGTCTCATCTGTTTCCAACCATCTGTGTTGCCTTCCCCCTTCTTTTAGTCTCCGAAAAGTCCCACTCAGGTCTTTTCCTGCATTGCAGGCGGATCCTTCACCAGCTGAGCCACCAGGGAAGCCCAAGAATACTGGAATGGGTAGCCCATCCCTTCTCCAGGGGATCTTCCCAACCCAGGAATCAAATGGGGATCTCTTGCATTGCAGCCAGATTCTTTACCAGCTGAGCTACCAGGGAAGCCCGTGTAGGTACTTAAGTGACATGGGAAAGAAGAAGACAAGTTCTATGCAGGGAGGACCCTCCCCGTTGAGCAGCAAATATGGCCTTGTAAACCAGTAATTGATGGAACTGTGTGTCAGAGGGCAGGGTAAAGTGCTTTGGGAGCTGAGGGGGGTAGTGACCAACTTTGGGGAGTTGGGCAAAGGTTTCTTGGGAGAGCTGACATCTGGGACAAGTCTTAATGATAAGCAGAAGAGCTTGCCAGAAGAAGAGACAGGGGTAGGTCATCCAGAGTTTTTATTATTCCCAGTGTGAAGCCATATGTGCTGTGGTTATGGTATGTTTGAAAATTTAGCTTTCTCATCCTCACATAGTTGCACATAACTGGTGTCCAAGAAATATCTGGTTTTATTTTGAATGCACAGTATGCCCTGTTGCCCTCAAAGCTAGAGAGAGACAGATGTTGGGACTATAGTTCCCAACATGCTTTGGGGGCCCATTGGCTGAAAGGCTGGAACTTAGTGATGCTTTAATTCCCAGAGTTCTTCAGGGGGAAACCAAAAAGCCCTGATGTTCTCTCAGCCTTCCAAGTATAACTTAGCTCTTTCACCCCAGTCCTTACTTTCCTGCTGCATACACTTCGGCGGTATCAAACAGGTTTACACCGTGCTCATAGGCTACTGTCAGCACATCCTCTGCTGTCTAGGATGGTGAGAGAAAGAGTTGAAGATCAACCACCAGCCTCTCAGTTACCTTCCTCACTGCACTCTAACCCATCACACCTCCACCTTGGTTGCCACATTCACTTCCCTTTCCCCATCCTCCAGCCTCAAGCCACCATTCTCCATGCTTGTTGTCCAAACCCCTAGCCAAGTCCATTTCCCTCCCGTTTGGGTTCCCTCATTACCCCCTCCCCCTGCTTCTAGGTCCCATCACTTATATCAATACCTCATCTGAGATCTGAGAACCAAATGTGACCCAGGTACCTGCAAGAGAGAAGCCAGGCAAATGAGACCAGAGTGGGGGGAGGGGAGGCAGCCATGAAAGAATGCCTGCCCTTCCCTTAATTCCTCTTCTTTCTAACTCACCTAGGCCAAGGCAGGATACCCGAAGACCAGACTTTCCTAGGTTCCTGCAGGACACAGAAGCAGCAGGAAGGGGTGGAGCCTCCATTAGGGACATAGATTATCAGCCTCCAGCTTCTCTCATTGCAGACTGAGATGCCCTCAGGGTGTCTCAGGCCAAAGAAACTAGACTCAGTGGGCCCACTAAGTTGGTCAGTGCCAGGGCCATAGAATAAGTGAACAAATAGTAAGTGTTCCTCTGGAGCCATGGTCCAGTGCCTCTGTTCCCTCTTATCACACTGAAGATGTGCTGCCTGCCTAACGCTGCTTCTGGTGTGTCCTGGGTTCATTTGAGTCATCTCTGGGATGTGTGGAGTTGGGGTAGAGGGTGGCTGGGAGGAATGGGACTGACTAATTATGATGAGTTTGTGAAAATAGATCCTCAACAGAGTGCTATGCTAAAGGGCAGACACTGGGGTGGAAGGGGGTAAACCAAGTCAAGTTCAGCGTTCAGGCAGGCAAGGGTCCTTGAATAGGCTAGGCAGACGGGCCTCCAACAAAGGCAAGTAGGACACCTGGGTGGGGAGTTTGAGAGGAAAGACCAGTTCTCCCCCTTTTTTCTACTCACTCTGCTCCTGTTGGTTTGTGAAGTCTGTCTTCAAACCAGAGAGCCCCCTCCTCCCCGCCCCCACCCCCATCCAGGTACTCCACTCAGCTTCCCAATCAGGGCTGCCATATGGAAGGGATCAAATTCCTCAAGTGACAAAACCAGTTCAGATCAGGGACCTCTGCTGACTCCTGAGCAGGAGCCCCTCCCCTGTCCCCTACTGGTAGTCCTGAGAGCTAAGCGGTTCTCGGTTCTCGGAGATCAAGTCGGTTACATTTCATTCCACCTTCCCCACCTCGGCATGGGCTTGAGAGATGTAGTGCATCCTTTGGAGGGCCCCACTTCCCTTCCCACCAAGAAAGAGTGCAGGAAACCCTGGGGTATGTGGGGGCGGTATCTGGGTCAGGCACCCTGAGCAGGCCAGAGTGAGAAGCTGTTTCCTTCCCCCCTCTTCCCAGGACACGACCCAAGGACACTCCATCCCAGCAGGGTGGGGTGATGTGCAGCCTGGAGATCTGCGTTTCCCTGGCCTTCCTGTGAGTAAGGAGGAGCATCCCTTGGGTCTGACAGGCCTGGTCAACCTCAGTAAACTTGATTTTCTACTAGGCAGGGGAATGGACAGAGAGCAAAAAAAAAAGAAAAGAAAAGGACCGTGTAAGGGAGTGTCAGCGATGGGAAGTAGAGATGGAATGAGCCGAGACCTTCTTAGTGAAGTTTGAGGGGGGTCCTGGCAGCATCCTAGGAAGCCTCTGGGGTCAGGAAAGGGAGCAGATGTGGCGGGCGACCAGGCCACCCCCATACCTGTATTTCATGCCAGTGCCTCGGCCGGTGCTCTCTCGGAGGGCCCCAGCAGGCGCTGGGGGTCGGGGGACCACGGCGGCCCGGGCCTTAGGGCCCGACCCTCCTCCCCCTGGAGGGTTCCCATGCCCCGCGCCGACCGGCCCGCCGTTACCGCCCCCGGGGCCCGGCCGGGGTCCACACAGACGGTCCTCACTGCTCCGGCTGCGAAGGTTCTGCTCAGTACATGCGATAGACACCTGCATGCCGGCCAGCCAAGGCCGGGGAGGGGGCTCCGAGGGGGTGGGAAGAAGAGGGAACCGGGAAGCTCGAGGGGAGACCCCCGAGGGTGTAGTGGCGCGAGCTCCGAGAGAGCGGGAAGGCTGAGGAGGTTGCGGCGGGAGCTGCCAGGCAGGATCGGGCCCGTGCGGGCGGGCTGCTGGAGGTCGCGGGGTTTGCGGCGAAGAGGAGAAACGCGGGGGGCGCCACGAGTGGAGCGATTAGGATTCGGGGGCACTGGCGCGGAGAGGAGAGGGAGAAATGGACGAGGGTGAAGGTCGTGGGCGATTCTCGGAGGGTAGGAACTTAGGGACAAGGAGGGGGCGGAAGAAAGATGCCACCTCTGCCCAAAGCGCAGCGGGACCCGCTAGGCTCCCAGCCGCGTCGGCAGCCAGCCCAGCTAATCAACATGCATGCACCGCCCCCTCATCTGCATAAAACCGCCCGCCTCCCAGCCCGAACCTGCCGCTTATCTGCATAAGCCTCACCTTCCGGAGCGCTGCAGCTTGAGTGTTTCATGGGCTCTTAGCAACCTGGGAGCAGCACCCGGAGGGTGGTTCTACTCTCTGGACCCCGAGGCCGATCGGTCTTCCACCACCCCAGTGGTTTTCAATCCGGGAGATATTTTGTCCCCTGGGGGGCATTTGGCAAGGTCCGGAGACATTTTTTTTGGTTTGGTTTTTGCCTTGATGCATGTGGGATCTTAGTTCCCTGACCAGGGATTGAACCCATACCCCCTGCAACGTAAGCATATAGTCTTAACCACTGGACCACCAGGGAAATCCCTGGAGACATTTTTTTACTGTCACTACCTGAGGGGACATTTGGCAAGGTCTGGAGATATTTTCTGACTGTCACGACTGGGACGCGGGCGTGCACGCACGTGTGTGTGTGTGTGTGTGTGTGATGTGCTACCAGCATCTAGTGAGTGGCAGCAAAGGAAATGGCAATCCACTCTGGTATTCTTGCCTGGGAAACCCCATGGACAGAGGAGCTTGGTGGGCTACAGTCCACGGGGTCGAGAAGAGACAAGACTGAGCGACTAACACTTTCACAGGCACAACAGAGTACCTGGCAGCCCTCCCACCCTCCCCCCAATCAAGGTATTACCCAGCCCCAAATATCAGTCGTGTTGCTGTTAACAAACCCATGGACAAAGCCTCTTTTTTGGCTTAGAGGATGCAGACACCCTGGTTCACGGCTCCATGAGAGGGGCAGGCCCCGATCAACCACTCAAACTTACACGCTCAGGTCCCAGAAGGTGATAAAAAGTTTATTCTGTACTTCTCACAGAGTCAGGTAGGGGATCAAACTGGACAGAGGAGCTGGTTTGGAGGTGTAGGGACTCCAGTAGGCTGCCTTCCTGTGAAGGGCTTTAGGTTGTTCCCCTAGGATGGCTACCGAGGGGCTTGAGGAGGCTGGGGGACTGGGGTGGTAGGGCTTGCAGCAGGAGCCCTTGGGTGATAAAGGTTAGGTTGGGCCCCAGGCAGACAGCAATTCTTCTGAGGGGTGAGGTAGAGTGCTTCCTTCAGCCAGCCCGGGCGGAGAAGAAGGGCAGAGAGCGGACGTAGGAGTCCAGTCGGGAGCGGAAGAGCTCACTTTGCACAGTCTGGCCAAGCGGGCACAGGGGATTCTTCACCACCAGCTCCACATACAGCTGTGAAGAGGGAGGGTGTTAGAGCCAGGCTTTGAACATTTCTTTTCAACCTCACACCTAGTATAACATCAAAAGTGTGTGAATGCACAGGGATCAAGGGCTGGGAGGCAAACCCTTTGAGGGGAAAGTGGTGGTGGGAGTGTATAAAGACATAAAGGTCCTGAGAAAACCCAGGGTCTCTACTGTACTGTATACAGTACAGTAGGATTAGGGCAGGGATGGAGTCTTGGGGCTCTAAGTGACCATGGCTGTTGAGGCTTCGGGAGCAGGGCCCAAGGTACTGGCACTGACCGCACTGTAGATGTGGTGCAGCACATCTCGGATGGGCCCCACGCCCAAGTCTGTATTCATGACAACCTTGATCCCAGTGGGCGTCTCGTAGTAATGGAGTTTGTAACGGCTAGTTTGGAAGGCCAGGAAGCCGTCCTTCCTGCAGGGATGGGGAGGAATGTTAAGGAATGGGAGTGGAATCTCTCCCAAAGAGATCCTTCTGATCCCCTCCAGACAGACTCCCTCTTAGATACCTCGCAGCTTCACCTTTCACTGTAGCCCCCGTGCCCAACCTCTCTAACCTTCTCTTCCCCACCGCCGCTTCTGCCAGCTCCTGCATTCTCGCTCCTGACTCAGTCTTTCTCTCTGTGTCCTTACCCTCTCTGGGGACCAAAGCCTCTTCCACTCCAGAAAGTACCCCCTCCCCGTCCGTTCCCTCCTTCCCTCAGCAACCCCTCCGACTCCGCGTACATGTCTAGCGGGGACATCTTGCTGACAAACGAGCGGATAGAGAAGAGCATCCCGTACATCAGCTTGTACTCCTGGAGGGAGAGGGGCAGAATTAACTCTCTGTTGTAAAGGAGACGGGGTAGGGGTGGGAATGAGCCAGGGTTTGGAGAAAAGGGGCTGGACTGGGACTATGCATTTGGAGACGCGAGGTCACCCGAGTGGCGCGGGGCCCTCTCGTCACCTCCTCCTTAGGGATCCCCGCTTGCTTCTTGCGGTGCCACTCGCTGTAATGCAGACACACTCCATTTCGGTCAAACAGGTACAGGTTGTGGACAGTCATCTGCAAGGCAGAGAATGTGAGCCTCTCTCCGGGACCGCCCACACCCCGTCGGCTCCAGTTCTCAGTCCCGGATCCCTCCAACCAGATGGAGGGACCCCACCCCCCCCCTGCCCCGGACTCACCGGAACTTCTCCGAGTGCCCGTCACTCGACACTTCCGGTTTTCGCGGAGCCCCGCCCCATCGGGGCAAGGCGTCACAGCAATAACTCCGCCCCATACCTGCTTCAGCCAATCCGTGGCGCCGGGTCTGGGCATGCGCGTCTAAGGCTCTCCGCTCCATAAGCTGGAAGCGGCGGAAAGCACTGTATCCTGGGCTGGTGACGTCATCGAAGCGAGCGAGGCGGAGCTGAGGAAGGTGGGCGGGAGCCTGCCAACGGTTTTGAGTGTTGGGAAGGGCGCGAGAAGAGGGGTTGTTTGGATCTTCGCCTACCAGGTCTCAGGGGGAGGAGGCATTCCCTAGTTCCCACCTTGGCAAACTGCGGGGCTGAGGACTGGAGGTGTGGGGAGTAATCGGAACGGGGTTATCGAGGTAGGGGATCTCAGGCTAGGCTGGAGCGCCTGAGCGTATTTTTTAGGGCCATTAGAGGGCGTGACTTGAGTGTTCACAAACTTGCTTTTGGGGTAGCAGAGAGGGAGGGATTCTAGGGAGCCATGCTACGGCTTTCTTGCCCGGAGGGATCGGAGGGGATATACCAGAGAGTTGATCCTGGATGGAACGGGTGCATGGGTGAAGAGGAGAGGTGGGGAGCGTGAGGTTCCTGCCTCGCTGAGACCGGAGCCAGTTGAGGGGCCATAAGACAGCTGGACAGAAATTAGGCCTCTATTGGATTTGGGTCCGTTTCAGTTTGTGCATTCTGGCTGGGTGTGAGAACTTAAGAGCTCAGTGGACTATGAGAGCCTGGCCCAGAAGTTGAACTGCAGCTTTCAGCGCTCCAGAGGAACTGCAGTGGTGCGCCTGCCCCGCAGTAGGTCTTCCATCCCCACCCGCTCCTGGCTGCACCCGCCTTTTCCACTGTTCCCAGGAGCTGTGGAAAGAAATCCTTTTTCTCCTCTCCCATGGCCTCTGGAACTGTTGGAAACCTTTCCTTTAACCAGAAAGGCTCCATACCCTCACTCAACAAGAATCCCTCGCTCGGAGTCTTCCTCTTTTCTCCCAAATCTTCCTTCTCCCGGTACTTACTCCCCTGGGCTCTCCTAAAGCAGAACCAGGAGTTCCCACCTCTGCTGTCTCCAGTTGTCTCTTCCCTGTACTCATGGCAACATCAGATGCCAGCCCCAGTTCACCCCTACGGGCCAAGGACCTCCTGAGTGAGTCATCAGAAGCCCCTGGGCTGAACCAAGTGTCCTCTGAGGTGACCTCCCAGCTGTATACTTCTTTGCACCTCAGTCGTCAGGCAGAGAGCACAGCACGAGCCCAGCTGTATTTACCTGCCGCCTCCCCACCTCCCCGTGAGGTGTTGGATGGCTTGGCCCGAGGACTAAGTCACAGCTTGTCAGTGGGATTGGAGAACAACTTGAAGAAGAAGGTGAGGGAGGTCTGCCTTGGACACCTCTAGGGTCTTGGGATTGGGGGTGGTAAAAAAAAAAAAAAAAGAGCTTTACTGAGATTTGAGCCCCTGTTGTTGGATTCCATAATTTCTTTTAACTACACAGTTTAACTACCATGCTTGTTCCTGTGAGCAAATGTTGATGAGAGTCCTGAGCCATTCATAATAAGTTGGAAAACTGTGAGACTTACTTTTTTTTTCCCTTCAGAGACACCCATGGGGTAGGTTGCTGTGCTTTAACTGGGATGTGGGTGCTGGAAATGAGGATAAGGGTTCTTCATCCCAAGAGGAAACTAGGGATTTAAGGAAAATATTCTAAGATCCTTTCATCTTGAAACTGTTTTGATTGTATAGTTCAAAATTTGGTATGTAAATCATTAAAACAGTTTAATCAATTATACATGTTACCAAGAAGATAGTGTCAGATAAAACACATATCATAACCCATCTGCAGACTGTCTAGGCCTCCCAGAGTTTGAAAAACTGATAGCCGTGGACAGCAGAGTCTTTATACAGGATATTTGCTTTCTAGTTGGAAGGAATCCTCACCACTCTTACCTTAAGATGCCCAGTTAATTCATTTGCATTACCTCTCTGGCTTCCATAGACAATTGAGTTTCTCATTGAATCAGTTCTATTTTTCTTGCTTTCCAAGGTGTGAGAGTAAAAATTCTTGGGCCTTAGGGGCCACTCGATGCCATCTACCCTGGATGCAGTATGGATTATTGCATCTGATTTCTGCATTGCTTTTTTTCTAGGATGGTTCCAAGCATATCTTTGAGATGGAGAGTGTTCGGGGTCAACTCCAGAGCATGCTCCAGACCTCACGTGATGCGGCTTATCGTGAGTGATTTTCTATAAAGGAGAACCTAGATTTAAGGGGTAGGAAAAAGTGGAGAAAGCTAGCAGGATATGTGTGGGCTGGAGACCTAGACTCAGAGATAAGAAATTTCAGGAGAAAAGGCTCCCGTTCTTACGGAGAGAGGCAGGAGGAGTGGGTGAAGTAGAAAGGAAGGACCACTCCTCTCTTCTCCTTCAAGTGATCCCTGTCCCCATCCTTACCTGACCCTGGCTGTGGGTCCCTCTGGCTGCCTGCAGGGGATCCCCCGACTCCAGGTGCCGACTGTGAGAGACGGGAAGAGGACTCCTTTGACAGTGACAGCACAGCCACCTTGCTTAAGTGAGTTCTCCCTGGGGTTCTCCTAGCTGCCTTCCTCTCTTTCTTGGAAAGTCAAGTGTTCTGTTGCTTAGTTCTCCCTTTGCTGCTTTTGTACCTCTTAAGGACCTAAGATGCTTTTTACCCTTCCTTGCCTTTCTTCTGTCCTGCTTACTCCTTTGGGAACTTAGGCATCCACTGCTTAGTACCTGGCTTTCTAGGTCCTTCCTCCTCCGAAAGAATTAGCTCTTTTCTGCTGTGACTCCTGCTGCAGGGAGTGTGGAGTAGAGGAAGGAGTACTATAGACTGACTCACAAAGCCTGTGTGCTCTCTAGGGCTCTGTCATTTATCTACGTAACTTTGTGACTTTGGGCATGGCTCTTGCCCTGAGTTGTAGTTTCCTTATTTGTAAAATGTCTGGAAATGGGACTCTGGGTCTCTAAAGCTTTCCCATCCCTACTGTTCTCTACCTAATCTTCTCAGCACCCGACCGCTGCAAGACTTGTCTCCATCCAGCTCAGCCCAGGCCTTTGAGGAGTTGTTCCCTCGCTACACCAGTCTTCGGCCAGGGCCCCCGCTCAACCCCCCAGATTTTCAGGGACTGAGAGATGCACTGGATTCAGAGCATACTCGTCGCAAGGTGAGATACAAAGGCTTCCTTTTGACAGAAGCAAAGATTAGAAATAGGGCCAAGTGCTAAAAGATTAAGGTCTTGCAAGCTAGGATTTTACTCAAATGGCTCTCCTATGAGGAAGGCCTTCTTTGACCATCCTGTTAGGATGGCACACCTCCCCTCCAGGTATTCCTTCAGATCATTCTGTTATTTCCTTCATATAGTTTATCAAAGTCTGGTATGTCTTGTTTGTTTCCCCTCTTTAAAACCTAAGCTCCACATGGGTCATACCTTATCTTTTTCAGTAGTGTCTTCCTAAAGTCCAGAACATACCCAACACAAACAAATACTCTGTAAATGTTTGGTGAATGAACAACAAATTGTTGGCTTGTGCAAAGCTACTGATGACATAATGAGCTTTGTTTCTGGAGCCTCAGCCTATCTGAAGCGGGCAGAGAGCAGGATGAGGCAGAGGAAAAGTCGGAATTATTGGTTGTGTTGTCATTTTTGGAACCTTCTCTTCCTCTATTTTAAACTGCCTGGGCGTGAATGAAAGGCTTTCACCTTTCCCCTTGCCACGCTGAGTCGTTGTGTCCAGTATGCTTCTTAAGGCAGGAGTAACTTCTCACTCTTTGCAGCATGGACTACTGCACCCCTGCCGAAAGGTTCATGGAAACTTTTCTCAGAAGATCTAGGAAAGGGAAGAGGCTGGAGACCAAACCCCTGCTTCCTGAGGTGGTAGAGGAAGGCATTGGAGAGCTCAGGCTCCGGAATTCCTGATTCTCCTTCTTCAAACATGTTCTGGTCTTGGGACCCAAGCTCCCTGTCTTCCCCCATAGAGAAACTGGAAAGTTTGGAGCTTTGGTCAAACTAAGGGTGGCAACACCCAGACCCCCTCACCCTTCTTCCCAGCATTGTGAGCGCCATATTCAGAACCTGCAGACCCGTGTCCTTGAGCTTCAGCAACAGTTAGCCGTGGCCGTGACTGCTGACCGAAAGAAAGATATCATGATTGAACAACTGGACAAGGTGCCAGGGGCGTGGAATGCGGGTGGTCTCTCCATGGGGGGCACCAAAGAATACAGGGGGAGGCCAACCAACATTTGTTTGTTTACATTAGGAGTTGGGGGCGGGTAAGTGCTGGGTCTGCTGACCACTGGAAGAAGGTAGCTGTTGGCCCTGCTCCTATGGACACAAAGAGGGAAGAAAAATTATTTGAAATTCTATGTGACCTCCTTCCTTTCCTGAGACCCTGGCCCGTGTGGTGGAGGGCTGGAACCGGCATGAAGCTGAGCGGACAGAGGTGCTTCGGGGACTCCAGGAGGAACGGCAGGCAGCTGAACTCACTAGAAGCAAGCAGCAGGAGGTGGGCAACCAGGATCACGAGGCATTAGAACCTGGGTCACCGATGGCTGGACAGGGGAGGAACCAGGGTACCTCACAGGTTGACCTCCAGCTTGCCGTAGCTAGCCTGATAATTCTTCTCCTGTGTCCTCTCCCTTCAGTGTTTCTGCTGTCAGACTTGCGTGGTTGATGTCTGCTCAGTTCTCCTCATCCCTCTGGCCTCCAAGTCATTTAGTTAACCCTTGCTTTTAAAGTTTATGTTGGTAATGATTTTCGAAGGGTAGCATGTAGGGATTCTCCTCAGTTCCTCCATGCTGTGTTCTCTCCCTGAAAGACAGTAACCCGCCTGGAACAAAGCCTTTCTGAGGCTATGGAGGCCCTGAGTCGTGAGCAGGAAGGCGCCCGACTGCAGCAACGAGAGAAAGAGACACTGGTGAGAATGCTCGCCTGGGTTAATTCGAATAAAGGCTGGTCATTACTTCTAGAGGGATGTGGATTGTTTTTGTTTTGTTTGCACCCT